ACAGTGTATCAGTCAGGGACAGTGTATCAGTCAGGGACGCTGTATCAGTCAGGGACAGTGTATCAGTCAGGGACAGTGTACAGTGTATCAGACAGGGACAGTGTATCAGTCAGGGATGCTGTATCAGTCAGGGACACTGTAACAGTCAGGGACGCTGTATCAGTCAGGGACAGTGTATCAGTCAGGGACAGTGTACAGTGTATCAGTCAGGGACAGTGTATCAGTCAGGGATGCTGTATCAGTCAGGGACACTGTAACAGTCAGGGACAATGTATCAGTCAGGGACAGTGTATCAGTCAGGGACAGTGTAACAGTCAGGGAGACTGTATCTATCAGGGACAGTGTAAACACAGCAGCACCACCTAGTCAGTCATTGTCACATTGTAAAATCCGGAGTCCTTGGCAGGTGACAGAGGGTTGAGCGGCTGGCTGCTAACTGAAAGGTTGCTGGGTCCCATGTACCCAGAGGCACCTTGGGAGAAAGGCCTGGTGATCTCCTTCCGAAAGGTCACAGCCACAAGGATCCCACAGATTGCAGTTTGTCTCAATCATAGGGTCGCTGTGAGGAGGTGTCAGCTGGACGACAGTGTTCTGACTCACAATGGCCCTCTGTGCAACACAAGGAAACACTGCCCAGTCCTGAGCGGTCCCCACACCAAAGCTGGAGCCCACTGCTGTTGCCACTGAGCCAGTCCATCTCACTGGGGGGCTTCCTCTGTTTCAATGACCCTCCACTTTACCAGACATGATGTCCTTTTCCAGGGACTGGTCCCTCCTGATAATGTCCCAAGTGTGAGAGACGAAGTCTCTTCTAAAGAACACTCTGGCTGTGCATCTTCCAACACAGAATTGTTTGTTCTTTTGGCAGCCCAGGGTACTTTCAATATTCTCCTCCAACCCCATAACTCAAATGCATCAATTCTTCTATGGTCTTCCTTATTCGTTGTCCAACTTTCACATGTGTATGTTGCACTGTTGTTAAATGCAGTTGAGTCGGTTCCAACTGAAAATCTATGGCTTGGGTAAAACACACCTTAGACATCTTTACTCCTCAACACCTTAAAGAGGTCTTGTGCAGCTGAACTTCCTAATGCAATACACCGACTGATTTCTTGGCTGCTGCTTGCATGCGTGTTGATTGTGGATCCAAGCAAAATGAAGTCTTTGGCAATTTCAATCTTTTCTCCATTTATCATGATGTTTGTTATTAACTGGTCCAGTAGTGAGGAATGTTTGTTTTCTTTACATGAGGTGCAATCCATACTGAAGGTTGTGGTGTTTGATCTTCTTCAGTAAGTATTTTAAGTCTGCTTTGCTTTCAACAAGCAAGGTGGTATCATCTTCATATTGCAAGTTGTTAACGAGTCTTCCTCCAATCCTGAAACCATTCTCTTCATGTAATTCAGCTTCTCAAATTATTTGCTCAGCATACAGACTGGATACATACGGTGAAAGAATAAAACTCTGGCACACACCAATCCAGGTTTACAACCCTAGTTCTGTTTGAACCATTGCCTCTGAGTATATGCACAGGTTCCTCACGTGCACAACAGAATATTCTGGAATACCCATTCTTCTCAATGGATCTACAGCTTGATCCACACAATGGAAAGCCTTCCTTAGTCAATAAAGCATAAGTAAACATCTTTGTGGTATTCTCTGCTTTCAACCAAGCACTGTCTGATGTTAGCAGTGATATCTGTGGTTCAAAATCCTCTTCTGAATCGAGCTTGAATCTCTGGCAGTTTCCTGTCAATGCATTGTTGTAGCATTTAAAAATTATCTTTAGCAAAGTTTTACTTGCATGTGATATTAATGATATTGTCTGATGATTTCTGCATTCTACTGGGTCACCACTCTTTGGAATGGACACAAATACGGATCCCAGGTAGCTGTCTTCCAGATTTCTCGGCGTAGATAAGTGAGTGCCTCCAGTGCTGTATCAGCTTGTTGAAAGATTTCAATTTGTGTTCTGTCAATTCCTGGAGACTTGTTTTCGCCAGAGCCTTCAGTACAATCTGGACATCTTCCTTCGGTTTCATGGTTGAACATCAACCATTTATTTTTTTATTTGGCATTACAAATAAATTTTATTAACTAAAAAATACAGAATCCACTAATAATGAGGATCAAATGTATCTTTTTCTTAAAGTTTTCATTGTGAATTGAGTGATACCCTCCATGGCAAAACATCAGTTTTGCACTCAATCAATCACATCTTAATTTCATTGTAATGATTACAATCCCCACCATGTGCCATTGGCTAACAGTATTTGTCTCTATCCCCCCACACCACTGCTTTTTTTTTTTTCTGATGTACACAAAAACACTCAGGAATATATAATCATTTAAACAACCAAAGGGCACATTACGCAAGTCTGCGACCTGGCTGCCAGCTCTCAGTCCCTCTCTTTCCATGAGTCTAGAGTCCTCAGAGGCTCCCTCTCTCCATGTCCCCATCTCTGCCTCCATCTCTGGTGTCGCTGCCTCTCTGGCTAGGGTCCCGAGTTCTGCTCTGCTCTTCTTTTTTGATGGTCCTAGGGTCCTCTGTTCCTGGAATGTAAAATCTTACTACTCCCCTCGTTTTGTTACAAAACTTCTGCCTTTACAGTTGTGACCATTGCAATTAGTCATGATACAATTACTCACTATTCAATCAAACGAATCCTATCCCATCTCCTTTCACCAGACCCATCTAGACAAGAGGAAAACTGTTCTGTGTGGATTCTACCTTCCCCTGCACACTCTGAAACTAAACTCCTTCTTGAAAATTTGCAAGCCAGCCACTTTGTGCCTTTATAGCCTACCTCATCTTAAATAGCCAATGTCCCTATCAACCCTGTATACCGAGGGGACAGGCTTGATCCTTAATGTGAAGACTCCTTCTCTCTCGGTTGGTATTTTGAGCTACTCCATCCATAAGTACAGGTCACGTTCATCAAATTGTAGCAATTTACACTTGCTTCCTT